AGGTGTTCAAGAAATGTGTAGATGTGGTTGGTGTTTATGGACATGATTTAGTGAGTTAGGTGGTGGTGGGTTGACGGTTGGACTTGATGATCCTTGAGGTCTTTTCCAACCTTAGTGATTCTATGATTCTATAATCACAAAACTGCTTTAAAGAAACCTCGTCCTTTTGCTGCTTTGCTGGGGAGAGCCTGTATAACCTCTCTACAGTAGCTTCATCCACCCATTAACTAATGTATGTATCATGACATGCTTGTCCTTCCCTCAGTTTTGACAGGCCTCATTCAGTATTGATAGATGTGCTGGAGTGCTACCAAGCATCAGCAGTCCAGCAGACACCTACAGAGATCCATACATATCTCATCTGTTTTTTCCCAGATGAGTTTTCATGATGATCTAAACCATTCCAAATTCTCCCTGATTTCTGAGGGTCCTGGGTGCAAGCTTTGAAGTGATGGGCAGAGCAGCTTGCATGTGTCTAATGTTTTTGAGCCATGAATGGACAAACTTAACAACAACTGACATGTGACAAAGCCTTTTCTCTCTTTCCCGAACAGCTAATATGCCAGAGGATTATCCAGATCAGTTTGATGAGGTGGTGGACTTTATTCAAGCCACCATTAAAAGACTGAGGAGGTCACCAGATAAACAGACTCCGATTTTTTCTAGGCGGGAGAGAAACCGGCAAAATGCAGCCACAAACATAGAGAATTCCAGCAAAAAGGGAAGGAGGAATCAAAAGGGCAAAAATCGGGGATGTGTCTTAACAGAAATACATTTAAACGTTACTGACTTGGATTTGGGATACGAAACCAAAGAAGAGCTAATTTTCCGGTATTGCAGTGGATCTTGTGATGCAGCTGAGACGACCTATGACAAAATTTTAAAAAACCTAACCAGAAAGAAAAAACTAGTGACTGACAAAGTGAGGCAAGCTTGTTGCAGACCCACAGCCTTTGATGACGACCTGTCCTTTTTGGATGATAACCTGGTTTACCACATACTGAAAAAACATTCCGCAAAAAGGTGTGGATGCGTCTGACAGCTGCATACCGGCGGCGGCGCCAGTTTTTCATTCCTGAAAGTGGGACCAAGGTTCCTGGGGATATATCTGCTCAGAGTGGAGAAAAGAGGACCAAGAATGCAGAATTGAGGGGTCATGAGAGGCCGGGGGAGGGGGGTGTGAGGCAGCGTAGGAGGTTGGAGGCTTTAGACATCCTATGGGAAAGTAAATAAAAGCTCAGGTGGCGATGCCAACGGCTGGATGTCATGTGCGCTCCCTTTCCTGTTTGACACAGTCCACTGTCAGCAGCACTCAGATCCATGAAGAATGTGCTTAAAAACACAACTCTGCCATACCACACTGTCTTGTAGTCATACCGTCCATGCCAGGAAGCTTAGTCAAGAAGTAGCTTAGGAGTAACTGATCCCCTGTGCCCTCAGCTTTACTGAAAGGCACATTGCACGACTGATCATTGAAGGGCAGTTCCTAAGCACTTAGGACAACTTCTAAGCTGTAGTAAGATTAACCTCGTAAGTAAGATGATATCAGGCAACTGTCAAAATCCCCAGGCTCAAGTTCTCTAGGGCCAGTGTCAGGATGAAGCAAAACAGTTCCATTTACTGGTTAAGTTTGGTTATTTCCAGCTCATGTTTCTTCAAAACGAGTGTAGCATTTCATTCTTCAGCTACCTATGAAAAAAGTTGAGTTTTTAAGCATTTCTTCCTGGTATAGTAAGTGAAATAACAAGCCCGGCCTACAGAAAATGTTTCTTTTGGTTTACAATGGACTAATGTCAAGTGTGTAACTATGTTTCTATTTGGTCATGGAGAGTGAGCAGAGACTACTTGGTGCAATGCATCCATTCAGAGACATGAATATACAGAAGATATTTATTGAGATTAAGTTATTGTTATTTATTACAGTTCAGTAATGAGTCTGCTTTCCTTATTTATTAAAGTTTCTTTTCAAAGGTGCCAAAGTAGAAGGTGCTTGAAAGATACAGAGAGATGAAGTTGGAAACAATAGTCCATGCATTTGATTTAAAGTGTTAACTTGAATGCAAAAAATCACTTACTTTACCTTTTTTTTCTTTTAAATGACATTCTGATTATGTTCACAAAGTGTAGTGCTGAAGCCTGCATCCCTTCCTCCTATTCACTGATACTTTTGAAATGACTGCAGTCATACATCCACAGGAGCAGCAATGGCTCTGGACAAGTGAGGGTTGCAGGACTTGGCTCAACATTAGCAATTTGTTAGAAAAACCTAATTCTAGTCATATTTTAAATGTAACCACATTTTTTTCTCACACTTTTTGCCAACTGACCTCATGTAACTATTGACAAATGAAAAATAATCACATTTAGCCTTATAATTTCTTGTTATATTTACTTAAGCTTTTCCTTCCATATTTCCGTAGAGAAGAGGTTAAAGCCCTCTTACTAGTTATCCCTGGATTTAATATAGCCTGCAGGTAAACAATTGTTAAATAACCAAAGTGTTTTGTATAATTTGCTGAAACATTACAGGATCGTACCCACACAGCAGAACAGTCTGAGTTTCCTTAGGATGAGGGGGGTTGTACAGCAAAGCCATTCATACCTAGCTGCTAATGCAAGCTCTTGTTCTGGGGACTTCTTTTCCCCAAAGGAGCAGCAGTGCAGGTCACTAGACATACCTGAACCAGTGAAGCATCAACTCCCACAAAAACAACAGGAAGAAAAAAAAATCCCTACTGCAAACCAAAAAATTATGGTCTGACCTTTTATCTCATGCATGCAATGGCTCTCCATCCTCATTTTGCCCTGGGCCCCTCAGCACACCACAAAAGAAGGGTCTAGAGGTCAAAAAACACGCATAGAAAGACGTACCAGGTGTATGAAATGTAATTCAGCCCTGAGCTCCACTGCTTTCCTTGGCAGACAGAGGGAAGCCCCAGAACCCACCCGTGGGGCCCATTCTCACGGTGCCACGGGGACACCTTACTCTTCACACTAGGCAGGGGAGGTACAGCTGATACCACCACCAGCACTGGCATTATTTGGGCAGTAGAAGTCTCCTAAGCTGAGGGTCAGCTGCACTGCTGGGCGGTTGACCAGGTGCAGTGCTCAGAGATGTGCTTTCACTTGCCTCAGTTGCTGAAGACTTGCCCCAAAGCATTTTCTGTGCAGCTTAGAGAGGCAGCAACCAAAGCAAATCACTATGTTCAAAATACAAAAGGGTAAAGTTTGTGATTTTTTTTTATTTTTTAGACCTTACTGAAGACAGGAGTGTGCTTCTCTGGAGTTTTTTACTTCACCTGCGATTTATGTCTCAGTCATTTGTGTTAATCAACCAAAGTTCTCTACAGACTTTATTTTTGTACAATATTCATTTTATAACTTTTTACAAAATAAAACTCATTTCTATTGTTACCCATATTGCTTGTGCTTTTTCCCTACTGTACCACTTCCAAGTTACAATATCACCCAGTTCCCATCCTGCATGGGCCAATGCTCAAGAAACAGCAGGTCCCCTACACAGTGGAGCTTTCTTTTCCTCTCTCACGAGCATCTTTTAATTTGGATCAGAGATGTCTGTAGCTTCTTAGCAGAACATAACATTAATCGGCTACTGTAATAAATAACTCAAAAATGCATGGTAAGCAGTGGCACAGTAATCAACACAGTGGCAGACTTGAAACCTGGTGTTACCCAAGCTGCCCCTTGCCCATGCGGGACTGCAGTGGCTTCATGGGGACCTTGGCTATGCACAGGCACAATTCCTGCCCTCAGAGGAGATTTGCATTTTGCTATGCTAACCTAGGCATTAACATCAGCTGGAGTAAATTCCGTCCACTTTGACAGTCCTTTTCCCTTCATCTTTAAATAGGAAATTACAACTTGAGGAATTTTCTTTCCTGCCACTATCATGGAAAAGATGAGGGCAGGTTTTGTGGCTGTGGTCAGCAACATTTACTCAACTGTTTTGTGTAAAGTGCTGCAGTTCCCTTCACAGAGCTCATGAATGCATGCAGACTTACAGGTTTTGACACTGGGCTCTGTACTCCTGGAAACTGCTTACAGAGAGGAAGAGGGAGCATCTGAGCAGTGAGCAGATCAAACACTCTTT